GACTTCTTGTGATTTGCATAGAGCCCTGGCACTGTCCAGCATGGAGTAGAACGATTCAATGTCCTCTTCCTTGATTTGTGCCGTCGGTGCATACACTACTATAATAGCCATGTTAAAAGGCTACTAGAATTCTTTCGGAAAGCTGGTAATATCCTAGAACGCATTTCCTAAGTGCGCTATCTAGTATTAGTCCTACTCCTTTGTCATTCTTCTCATTGCCAGCATAAGTTATCCTGTGTTTTTCGCTGACAAAGTCACCGTGGTTTGGCTATCTATACAGTTAGAATGTTGATGTTAAGCCTGGTCATCTCTTGTTTAATATTATCAAACTGACCGCAGATGTTCAGTGTCCGGACGTTCCATGTCTCAAGGGTTATTTTGTGTTTGATGCGAGTAGTTGCAGGATAACGCTCCGGTGACACCTGTCGTTCATATCGTTCCTTTCCGGGCGAGGGATAGTTTCCGAGGAATTTTATCCCCTTTACGCCGTTTATGCTAGCAGTCGCTGGATGACGGTCAGGTGACACCTGTTACGCATGTCGGTCCTTACCGGGCGGGGGGCTAATTCCCATAAACATAACCCCCTTCACGCCGTTAGGTTTGGCATTATCTGAGTTTTTAATCATGATTTGTTTTGGGAGTGATAGCGGAGTGATTTCCCGTTGCCTTCTCCATGGTGGTTTTGGAAACACCACCTCTAGTTAGCTGGCCGTTGCCTCAGTGAGTTCCTCCGCTCTTTGATAGGTCTTGCTTTTCATCCTAGTGGCTTGCTAACGAGCCGCCTCACTCGGAACTCGAAATGGGGTAGTCAGTTTAGTCGCCGACATTTTAACTGGAATACTTACCGAAAGGCGAGGGGAAAAATTTTCAAAAAAGAAAAACAATTTCAGTTTTAATATACTTAAAGTCCTGGTGCCCCTTACTAAAATGCTAACAAAGAGAGGGGTAGGACATTAATAATTGGTGACTGAGATGTCTCCAAAAGTGTAAATGCCAAGGATACTGGAAATTTTTTGCCGCTTGTCCTATGTATGCGTAGGACGCCACCTTTAAAATCGCTATTGTGCCATATTCCGCCCAAGTGGACCCAGATAAATCCAAATCAACCTGAATCCGTCCCCTTTATACAGTTGCTTTCCTACAAGAGACAGGGCCTCATCAAAAGGTGAAATGCGCCCAAGGCCTCATCAAAAGGTGAAATGCGCCCGAGGCCTCATCAAAATGTGAAATGCAGAGGAGCCTTGAACTATTTTTACCACTTATCATGTATGCCTGGGGCTCACACGTTAGACTAGGCCATTTGCTATATTCCGTTCGGGTGAGCGCACGGATAAATTCAATGCAACCCCATCCACCGGGGGGCGTCTACAAGAGATAGCTAGATTTAATCCCTGGCGCCTGAGTTGTAATAGCCTAGTGGGTTAAACGTTGATTCGTGAATTTTGTGACAGTAATTGTGAGTTCAGTTCCTGGTCTGAGTATTGCAGATTTAGACTCAGTGGAAACAGGTCGAGGAATAATAAATGAGCAATATTAAATAAGAACGAGAAGAAATATCCCTAGACATAGACAGAGGAAGGAGACAATCTACGCGCATAGATTAAATAAAGGGTTCAGTTAGGAATTTCGTGAAGGTTATCCGGATCGACAAACATCTGATGAAGGCTTGGGGCGCAACGGTCGAAATGTTGTGATAATAACATAGATGAAGTCCGAATGTAATTAGCAACCAGTATTGTTAACAGATATTGTCTTTGGAGGCATATATCTCATTAGATATTGTCTTTGGAAGCATATATCTCATTAGAGTTAAATGTTTTAAAGAATCTCATTGCAGCCTATCCAAATGTAAACCTAGAGAAGGAAGGAAACCAACACCCATAACTTTGTTATTGAAGCAATAGAAATAGTAATAATAATTCAAATATTTCACAGAATATTGACTATACTTCCGCTCCACATTTCAAACTATAATTACTATTTATACTCTGTTAATTGTTTTACAATCATCCAACAAGATGACTAGTTCGTGGAGAAACTTTGAAATCCTGGGTTGTGAAAACACGCGTATAGAAATTTCATTGTTTAAAAATACCAACGCCCTACTTGGAAAGCGGGGTCATATTCTCTCTATTAAAAACCACATATGAAAAATATATATATATATATATATATATATGTGTGTGTGTGTGTGCGCGCGCGCGCGTGCATGCGTGCGTGTGTGGGGTGTGCGTGTGTTTCATTAACTACGACAGACAAGGTACTGCCATTAAGCTTTTTTATTTCATTTTTCTTGTGTTCGAACAAGTGTTTTCGTTGCTGGACGCAGTAGAAACTGTTCAAATGTTCGATAATTCCGAGCGCTTTCGGCTATACTTTTAGCCATTATCAAAGATGATTTAATTTTTATTTTTTAACTGTATGTATGCGTTGTGTGTATGTATCTAGAGATTTTTTATCTTCCGAACACAGTCAGCACATTGTGACCATGTTCGTAATCAATATTACTATTATAGTGGTGTGACCGATGTAATTATTTATGAGTTCGGTTTGATCAGAAACACAATTCCTTAAGGGTCTTTCGTAAATAATATTCGTTCTTTATAGTTTTAATTTTGGAGGTGTGTTGTTATTTTTTAGGATAAGGTTAGCTGTTTTTAAATATTTTTTAGTAGATAATTAATTCCATTTTTTTTTGTTCGAGTCAACTGGGGTAGTGTATTTCTTTATGATATTTCTAAGTGAAGATTCATCTTGTTTATAGTTGACGTGCATTTGGCTTTTGTAAAAAATATTTAAGTTATTTTTGTCTGTGTGTTCAGCATTTTTTTCGCTATTATTTACTTTCAATATATATATATATATATATATATATATATATATAGGATAATGATGTATAAAGTTTTATATATCAAGAACAATTTTGGAGGAAAGATGTATGACAAAGTGGAAACAAACCTAGTCTGATAAAGTCCTAAAGAACGAAACGCGTCAGACGAAAACTTTTTCCACTTTGTCATACACCTTACCTCCAAAACTGTTCTTGATATATAAAAATTTATATATCGTTATCGCATACATATATGCAATTTTTAAAGAACATATTTTTATACTTGTGGCTTTATTGGCTTATTTAGGGGGAAATTAAAAAAACATATAAATACGTTCTTTAAAATTTGAAAGGGTTACTCAATTAAAAAATATTTGAAAAAGAAAACAATTAAGGAGAGAGAACAATAAAAGAATAAGAATTAAGAAATAGAAAATAACGATTGACATTATATTTTAATTTTTGAAGATCAAAATTGACTAGGAAGTATGAAGCCGGAAGAAAGTTCCTGAAGCGAGAAATGCGATAGAAGAAATTGTCAGCATAGAACTTACGGTTACATTTAGCCAATTCAACTGTAAAATGATGAGACATTGCCGGCACTTTGTCATACATCTTCTTCCTATATATATATATATATATATATATATATATATATATAGGAGGAAGATGTATGACAAAGTTTATATATTGGGAAACGACTATAATGTCCTAGCGTCATGAGCTCTCTCAGTCATTAGCGTGTTTATTCACAGAATAAGTACTTTTGTCATACATCTTCTTCCTATATATATATATATATATATATATATATATATATATATATATATATATATATATATATATATATATATATATATATATATATATAGGAGGAAGATGTATGACAAAGTTTATATATTGGGAAACGACTATAATGTCCTAGCGTCATGAGCTCTCTCAGTCATTGGCGTGTTTATTCACAGAATAAGTACATAAAATTTGCCTTTCTTTCAACCGTGCTCCGATTGTTACAAAATCAGTCGGGTTTCGACCCCGGCTTGAAGGGAAGTAGCATTGATATATATATATATATAAAATATATATATATATATATATATATATATATATATATATATATAGTCGACTCTCCCGCCGAGATTCGACGTATGAGGGTTAAGCAGATCAGTTTCCAGGAAACCGACAGCCCGACAACGACACATGAGATTTGATTATAGTGGTGAAGGCTTCGTGCAGGACCATCCACACTTTTTGGAGGGACGAATAGAGACTCGGTGCACTAAGTGCCACAAGGTTCCCAAACGACCCTCCGCAGGTTTTGAATTCAGAGTTGTCCTTCTCCTAGATCAGTTTCCATCCAAGGCTATAGAACCCAGTCCGTCCTGCTATTTTACCCATAGCTGGAGGAAGAAGAAGGATATATATATATATATATATATATATATATATATATATATATATATATATATGTGTGTGTGTGTGTGTGTGTGTGTGTGTATATATATAAATATATAAATAATATATAAATATAAATATATAAATAATATATATAAATATATATATATATATATATATATATATATATATATATATATGTCATAAATATATAAATATAATTAATATAAGTAAAAGTTGGATTGATATATATATGAATTAAATCATTGTTGCAGCCTGCCTGACTGCGAACCTCCAGCTAGCAAGTGCCTTCCGTGCATCCATATGTGAAATGATGTTTCGTAATTTTTACTGACAAAACAACCAATGTTCATAAACATTCGCAAATTTAGTGATTATTTTGTGTAAGTGGAACTGTGCCTTAGATCGTTAGACGTTCAGTCTCTCGACCCCTAACTTCAGTTGCTTCATGCATGCTCCCTGTTGAGTGGTTCTTGAGAAAGGGCTGCGTGGTGTTTTAAAAGCCACAGACTGACTCATTAGTCGGTCCAACGGAAGTGCGCTCAGATTTCGACTCTACTTGATGAATATCAACAGTTCAACAGTCATTTTATCTCCTCTCATATTTGCTTTTATACACTTCTAGGGTTACTAGCAATTTTTTTGTACCAGCCACAATGATGTACTTACAGCTTTGTCAAAGCAACCGCACATTTTCTTGACCTTTGGCTACAAATGTATTTCAGTACGTTTTCGCCGACAATTATCTGCACATATGCTTGAGCTTTGTTTAATCTGCCTCTACCTTGCCACCATTTTCCCCCTCCTTTCTTCTTCTTCTTCTTCTTCTTCTTCTTCTTCTTCTTCTTCTTCTTCTTGTGCTATTTTTCTCATTTCTGCTACAATTCTTCTGACTAACACTGCTAACTTTTTACATTGATACGCATCTGCAACTGTAGCTTCTGTCGTACGTTCATCTCCTCCTCCTTCTGCTCATCTTTATTTTGTATTTGTTTTAAGTTTCTTTCTTTCATTTCTCTTTTTTGGCGGGGGCGGGGTCTTATATCCGCTCATTCTTCATTTCTTCCAACATCATTTTGCGTTTACATTTTCTTCTTATTCGCCTCCTTCTACTACTACTATCACTATTAGTATTGCCTCGGCTACAACCCCATCTTCTTTTACTACTCCGCCTTCACCCTTTCATGGTGATAAGGATCATCATCATCATCATCATCATCATCATCGGAATTAGCCCTTTTCACTGACTTTTTCCTTGGCTTATTCCGTTTTTAATTTTGCATCCCTTTCCTCCATGTTTCTTTGCTTTTTTTTTTCCTTTCTTTTTTTCCTTTCGTCTTCACGACCATTCTGACTTTATCTTTTTACTTCTTCCAAAAAGTTTTTTCTCTTTCTCCTTTCATCATCATCATCATCATCATCATCATCATCATCATCATCGTTTTTAGCAGTTTATCCCAAATATTTTGATGCTTACAACCTCCAAGGCAACAAGTACAAATATCTCCTTTCTTATTTATCCTAATATCAAATGTATTCCCATCACCCATTTACATCCCTACAGCTACTCCTACACACACACACACATACTCATTTTCTCTCTTTTTTTCTATTCCTTTCACCTCTCTTTTTATATGTCATCCATTTTGTCTTTCATAATTTCTCTTACATTCGACTTTTGAATCGTTAAACGCACATTGTTTGCTCTCACCTTGTTCTGTACAGAGGTACGTTTTTTACATATATTTAAATCACATTATTGTGATAGATAGATAGATAGATAGATAGATAGATAGATAGAACCATGCTTATCTTAATCTGGCCCAAAAACACAGTATTGAAGACATACTGGATTGTGAGCCAAACTTGCCAATCGTGCACTGCCGCAGGTTTCCATCGATGTATGTATGCAAGTTAACTTCAGCTAAAATTTTTCTCTATGGAAAAATTGGTCATAAAAAGGTGAAGATATATAATTTTCTTGTAACTGTAAATAAATTAAATCGAATTTTGTTCTGCGCAAATATATATGCGTGAGAGAGGGAGAAAAGTTCGTTTGTGCATAAATTTCTGAGGATGTGTGTGAATATGAATATTTTTTAATTAAAGAATTTTTCCCTATATTGTGTGTGCGCTTAGGGTAATTGGTAATATGAAGAAAAAATACGAACATACATATGTATGCTAAAAGAATTGCAAATTAATAAATATGTGGGGGTGTTTTAGGGCGGCTCCATTTGAAAATGTAAAACATTTTAAAGCCAGTATTCATTCCTTGCCCATACATCTCCAAGGTCGTTGGTCACGACGCTCCCCAGAAGAATGTTTTCTGTTAACAATAACAAAAGTGAACAATCATTTTAATTTAATAATAATAATAAGTATCAGTAGTGGTGGTGGTGGTGGTAGTAGTAGTAGTGAATAAGGAGCATCATGGCCCGACGTCGAAAGTTTATTTTACTTTAGTCTGAAGTGTGAGGCAGCCATGGCGACTTGGGTGTAGAATCTAGATGCTCAGAAACTGGGTTGCTCCCCCTGAAAGTATTCCTAACTTCGTCTCAATTGCAAGATTATATGTGTTATCAAAATATGTCACCATATCGCCCGGGTCTGAATGAACAGGGGTCATGGAAAATCTGATACTCACGAGCCAGATTGAAGGCAAGAGGGACAGAGGAAAACAGCACATAACATACTTAGTGAATTTGACTAAATGGATGGCGGGAAAAGTCTTAGGGGAAATAGCCAAAGAACAAAGTTTATTATGAACTACAAGTAACAGGAAGTTGTGGAGAGTCATGGTCGCCTACGTTCAAAAGAGGATACGACACATAAAGAAGAAGAAAGAGCCCTTTGCGTCTTAGTTTCATAACCACGAAGTGAATTGTTTTAAAAAATATCGTGCGCATATATTTGGCTGTGATGCATGTGCCTGGTATACAATTATTAGTCTGAGTGTCAAGATGAGTATTCTGGGTGTCATACCCTAGCTTCAATTTGTTGGTGTGCTACTCTCTCACTCAATATTAATAATAATATTAATGATACACAGAGGTTTATCTGTAACTCTGTAACGACAGTTCCTAATGTTCGAAGAAGGATTGTCTTCGCCAAGATAAACAGGCTTCACTCGTCCAAAGCCATTTTAACCATTGATCTGTGAAAGCTGTTATATAAAGATGACAGTTTAGATATTTCTGAATGGATCTGGCGCCACGAATAATATGAAAGAATCGGTTTATTTGGGCTTTTTAACAGAGTTTTCACGTTAATGTATTGGTTTTGTGGCAATTTGAGGTGTTGTGCGAAACTAGCACAGCCTATTCTATGCTCAATTTCCTTATCTCCTATACTAAATTTGTTATAACTGATCCGTACACCGAGGTTTTTGAAGTGTTTAGTATTTACTAAATCCAAATCCTGAATCTCTATGAAGGATTCAGGACAGGTGCCATTATTGTTTGCATTCCAGATCATAGTCCAATTCTTTTGAAAAACTTTGTCTTTGGTCCTATTTCTTGGAACCATTGACAGAGGATGTTGATTTTATGTTCAGGCTCATTCTTATCCCACTTATGAATAGCTATGTCATCAGCGTAGCCCTTCTCAACATTTACCTCGGGAGGGAAAGCAAGATCGTTGTCGTCTATTATTCGGTTGCCGAGAATACCATCACCGGAACATGTGCACAGCAAGGAAGTTTTAAGGAGAATGGGAACAAAAAACACACTTGTATTTAGAACCAAAAAGAGAAAGATCATATTAACTTTGTTATAATCGATCCTTACGGCGAGGTATTTGAAGCGTTTAGTATTTACTAAATCCGCCTCCTGATTTTTTTTTTTTTTTTTGATGGATCAGAGTAGGTGCCATCACGACTTTCATTCCAATTCCAGAATACAGCTTCTGTTTTGGAAAGGTTTATCTTAAGTCCTATTTCTTGGAAGACTTGATAGCGGATGTTGATTTTCTGTTAATGATTATTTATGGAAAGCAGGAAAAGGGGTGGGGAAACGAATCTAACCATTTCTTTATTATTTTTAATTTAATTAATTTATTTTTCTTACTTCTTTCCGGGAGACTTAAAAACATGGCAGACTCACACGCAAAACGGTCTCCCGGGAAATTATCATCATGTACGTATGGAAGCGTTAAATTTGCTCCCTCGGGCTTCAAGCGTGAAATTTAGACGGACGTGAGGAACTCCACTCCGAATTGTCAATTACGAGAATTATTTCTTTAATTTATTATAAAAAAATTTTTGTTTCATTTCTTATTTATTTAACAGGATGTTTCCGTTTTGGGGTTATTTTCTATCTTTTTCTTTTTTGGGGGCTTGAATTTTTCGATATGCAATATTTCAAACATCACTGATATCGGCATCTACAACAAATTAAATTGACCCTTCTGTCATTATATATTTGAAATTTGAAATTAAAATTAGAATTTTCCAATAATAGTCTGAAATAAGAATGCCAGTTCTGGGATTAGTGACTTTTAGTGTTTACCATTTAAAAAAAAACTACAATCAATAAATGACCCAAGAGCCACTTAAGGTAGAGGGTTACTAATATAAATGTTCTAATTATAAAGCAAAGATTACGAGGACAGAGAGGCGGGATAATGACTGCTAGCAGATTTGAAAAGATTATGGTTGCAGTGTTAGGGGAAGCATCCACACGAGAGTTTGTTCCAGAAACATGCGATTCTTGGGAAGAAGTTTTCTGGGTGAAAGGTCCTACTTACCAAAAGAATACGAAGGGGGTTAGGGTGATTCAACTGTCTCAATGACGTGGGCTTTGTTCGACTTGTGTTTTAAGGTGTTGATTGTCAATTGCAGATGTACGTCCTCAACCACCTTGATCTTCAAGACAAGTATCCACATTATGGAACTTCAGAAACCAATTCTGTACAGTCCGATTAAAAGTGCTCTGTTAATGTTGGTTATGGTTTGAGAAGCATTATGACCAAGCTTGATCTCGGACAAAAAAGTAAACACCTCTTCGTTTTAAATGTTCAAGTTGATGAATATATTATGCTTGCAGTTAAATTCTGAAATGGATGGACATAAAATTAACAAAGTGAACACTTTAATCATTAGAAATGAGTATCATATTTCTGTGCAACTGTTAGAGTAACTTAATAATAATAATAATAATAATAATAATAATATGGGACTACACAATACACACTGACAGAACAATCAAGGCCAACCGCCCAGATACTGTTATTAAAGACCACAAACAAAAACGGTGCCTTCTTATTGATATGGCAGTCCCTGCTGACTGCAATGTATCTTTGAAGATATTCAAAAAGCTGTCAAAGTACAAGGACCTTGAAATAGAAATCTCGAAAATGTGGCATATGGGAACATCAACAATCCCTGTTGTAGTCGGAGCCCTAGGACTGATTGGAAAAGATTGCAGTAGACTAATTGAAGGGATTCCTGGAAGTCCATGCCTCAAGGAGTTACAAAAAATTGTTCTAACAAGTACAGCCCACACTTTACGAAGGGCTTTATCTATGTAAAAAAATTTTTTCTTTTGTCAGTGGAAAGTGTCATGATGCCATTTCTAACCTTAAGTCCCTGGGCGGGACCCGGAAAGAAATGTGTAAACGCCAAAAATCAAAGAAAATAATAATAATAATAATAATAATAATTAAAATTAAAGCTTCAACTAAAAAGTTTATTTTCAAATCGGGCATTATTTTCTTAACAACCTCATACAACAGTGTTTTTTATACAGCTTAAATGAATTTTTATCCAGCTTCTCTTCTGTTATATGCTGTATCTCGTTAGACATGGGCGAATATGGCTCTCCCCAATTTTCTCTTTTCATTCTTTACCATTCATCTTAGTTGTTTTCTGCTATCGTTAAGTGGATTACACGCTGTTTCCCCAGGCTTCTCTTGCGTTCATTATATCCTGTGTGTGTTATATTCAAAAGTCTTTCTTTCTTCAGTACGTGTCCAAGATATTCTATCCCTCTCATTCTGATTGTAAGTAAAGCTTCCTTGTAATTCCTATTTTCCTAATGACTTTCTCATTCTTTATGAGTTCTGTTATTCTTAACATTATTTCGTAAAACTACGTCTCTGTAGCTTCTTCTCTCTTCTTCATCCTTTCACGCCACGAGATGGGGAAGTTTGAAATTAATTTTAGCTCATCCTTACCCCTCAAGCAATA